GCCCCCGGGGTGGACATCACGCCAAAGGAGAAGCGGCCCTCCGGCATAGCGACGATCCCGTCTGCAACGGAGCGCAGATGGGAGTCTCCTACAAGAAGAACAAACTGGGAGAGACAAAAGAGAGGCTTGAAGTTAGAACAGGAGCCTCCACAGGTGAAGCCTTCATACCCAGATGTTCCTGATCAGGGACTAGGGCTGCAGGGAGCTGGAGCCTTTCCACAGCATCCTCCCTGGGAGGCTCTGTGCCGTACAGGGAGGCCTCCTGGAACCACAGCAGTCAGTGATGTGGTGATTGTGAGAGTCAGGAACTTTAAGTACCTGCTTGTCTGGGTGAGGAGGAGGGAGGACCAGCTTGTGGCTCCGTCCGGTCACCCTGCTGGTTGGCCACCTGTGCACCTTGTGACGCCACCCCGTCCCATCTGAAAAGAGGAGACAAACGGCACAAGACAAACATGAAGAGAGCAGTGCAACAGCAGACAGCATTTCTGAAGCTCCCACAGCCTTCCTTTAAAACAGTCAAAGTACGTACGTGCGCCGGTCCCAGATAGCTTCTGACGCCCAACCAGCTCCGTCCCTGGCACTCCTGGACGCTGGAGGTAAAGAGAAAACTGTGAACATCCAGCTCCAGGAAACAAAAGAGTAGTGATGGAACTTTCTAAGCATTTTTACCTGAGCGACGTCGACATCCAGCTTCCGAAACCGTTCCTTGGCGGCCCGGGCCCTCTTACTCTTCCTGGGCATCCTGCAGAGCTAAAGGAAGAGGACAAAAGGAGGGGGAAGAGAGGCAGCAAATGCAAAGCAAAACAGGCAGCAAGAACAACAAATGCAATTTTTTTTATTTTTTTTTATTTTATTTTTTTTATGTAGTGAGATGAAACTGGAAATGTGTATAGGTGCTCTGTGTATAACCAAGAGTGTGTGTGTGTGTGTAGTGCAAATTTTGTGTCCTGTAGTAGGTGTGTGGAAGTGTGGTGTAAGTATGTGTGCAGCTAAATGTTTAGGTGGTGGGTTTAGAAAAGGTGAATTTGTACTGAGACAGTATGAATCAAAGCCAGTAGCTGATATGGATGCAAGTGTCTGGTGAGGAATGCCGAGCAAGGTCGATCCGAAGATGAAGGGCTGAAAGAGCAGGGAAACAACACAATTAGTACTATGGCAATCCTTAACATGAGAAAAATATAAAAAGAGTACAATATAGGACTGATGTAGTATTACTTCATATTAAATCAAATAAAACAAAGTATAACTTTCTTCAAGGAAAATTCCCAATAACTATGTTGCATAACCACCCCCAAACCAAAATATGAAAAAATGTAAAGCTTAATACTTACTTTGTGTCTGACAAGCAAAATCCAAGCACTGAAAACAGTCTAAAAAAAAAAATAAAACACATAAATAATATTAACAACACAGGACTTAAATATATATATATATATATACATGTGTAAGCTACTGACATAAAAAGCAAATCCCCTGTTCTGCTCTGAGACCTGGGGCCATGACAAAGCAGCTATCAGCTAGCACGCAGCCACAGCAAAAATAGAATTATTACCCCCT